ACTATTTACCTTTAATACACAATGCTTTATTTGACCTCTCATTATAGGTTAGATTAATTTGTTGTAGACTTATACTCTTTTTCCCCCTCCAGTAAGTTGTTGTTTACTTAACTAAGATTTGAATACACTAAAGCATGCTGTGGAAGGGACTGAATGGCCTAATTGTAAGTACTATCTAAATAAAAAGGCTGTCATATTGGAATAAGGATAAGAGATGAGTCCAATGTGACCAGTTTTGTCTACATGTATTCTGACAACCCACCTGTCCTGTCACACCACTATATCATCTGAGCTAAGTCATGTATTGGTGTATTTAAAAATGAATCAAATATTAATTCTTGTTCGTTAAATATTTTTTCTTTGGTCAATTCTCTTTGGTGCCTAGTGATTTAGTTACGTTGAACAAAGTACATTGTTTACAACAAAAGTTACTCTCCCCAGCCCCCAAATGCAGATAGGGAAAACAGGCACTCAAGTCCATCACTCCTGCACCCCTTAAAACCAGACCCAAGCCACCCAGCAGCTAGGCTGCAAGAACCCAGAGCTCACAGTGCAGCTACACCCCACTGCTTCGAAGACTTGCAGAGGTTTCTGAATAGTCTAATAAATACCTTGGATTCAGGAAAATGCCATTTTAAAATCACATATTAATATGGTATAGTCTATGATGAATCTATATGCCAGACAAACAATATTGCCCATTTAAAGTAAGTGGAGAAATAGGCGAACAGCAGTATGTTTTATTCTAAAACATGGACAGTAATTGTACCCAGTCATTGATTCTCTTGTCTTTCAACCTCTTTTGATGGGTATAGCAATTGATTGCTGAAATTTTACTTAGGTTGCAATTCTAAAAAGCTAAGAGATCCATTTGCAGTTGTTTTACTTAACAGTAGGCTCTGTAACATGCCTACCAGAAAAGAAATCCTTAAAATAGTGGGAAAAAGCATCAAAAAACATGAGTTCTGTAGCAAATTCTACAACATTTCCCTCTTTCACTACATATGACTGTCCTGCTGCAATTTTTGTTGGTCTAGCAGCCTCATTGCTGGTAACAAGAAAGAGCTTTTCTGCTTGAAAACAAAATTGCTATCTTTTTGCAGCCTTCAGATATTCTCCAAGGACTTGGCTCAGGCTTCAATTTTTTCTTATTAGATAACAAATAGGGCATCTTCACAACTTATGTTCAGGCTAACAAAATAACCTTTGTTACATCATTCAGTGATAATTTAATACAGATAGTCAATTGTGATGGCCACTGATTGTCCTGTTAACAGTCCACAAGCCACAGACTGGAAATTCCCACTAGACTATCATTTTTCAAAGTCACACTAACATCCAGAAGAGATATTCAACTCCACCACTCTCAAATGACGATGATCTGAACACCATTTTGTTTTTATTGCCATCAGATGTTCATTTTACTGAGACACAGTGCTTAGCATCCTACCCACTGGAAGGTCTCAAATGCTTTAAGATAAATATCAGAATTGAGATGAATAAATTGCAGGATTTTTAACCTAAATTTAGGCATGTTAAATCTGTCTTTACCTGACAAGATGTTTGTATTAAAAATAATCACAGTACGTTATTATGGCTAAAATATTCCAGCAAACTAGCCTGGCATAAGTGTTGCACAGCAGAGCTCAGGTTATCACTGCCCTTTCCATCATTTGTCACTAAGTTAGACATACTTTCAAAGGCTGGGTCCAAACATTCCAATACAAATTGTGGAGGTCTACTGACTAACTTTTAGAAAGCCAAAATTATACAAATATATCCAGTTAACGTAGATTTGCACAGGTATTTCACTGCTGTGACAAAATGACCACATTGTCAAAGAGCCCCTACATAGGCTGATAGAAGGGAAAAGAACTTGAAATAATTAGAAAGAAAAAATGGGCAACTGTGAGCCTACAAAGATTATCAGTTTAATATTTTAAAAACTGTTCATAGTATTATGTCTAAAGCTGTTAATATAGCCTATTTTTGTTACCATGAGGATGAACAGAAAGTTGTGTCCTAAAAGGTAATTGTAAGAAAATGAAAAGCAGCTCTGCCTTTAATAGCTTTTCACAGATAATTTCTCCATATTAGATCATCATAATCATTGTTATCTTCTATATTGGAGAATTACTTTCTCCAACAGTTATATCATGGTAGCAAGCATATACTCAGCAACATTATTTGAAACTCAAGTGTTACCAACATTTAAAAAATTGTAAGACAAAACACTTCAGCAGCCACTTAAAATACTCATATTTATTTGATAGTAGATAATTAAGCCATTAACTTTAACACTGGCATAGAAGCTCTGTGAAAATTCATTACAAAGAGAAGTTTAGCTGATAGATTGCAGGCTGTATCTTTGGCAATTAGTCCCTATTTCTCTTTTTAAGTATAAAGCTTTTTCTTTGATGTGGCCCAGAGAGAGCAATTTTGTGAGAATTATCTTCGTGCAAGAAAAGATGAAACAAAGACACCTGCAAACCTTAATCCATATGTTTAATGCAACCAAATTAACTGCAATATGATTTGCAAGAGAAATGTATATATACACAGTGTATACATATACATTTTATATGTATATATAAAATGTATACATATAAATAAAGAAATCCATACAGCCTTGTAGGTCAAGACAGAAAAAAAAAAAAGCTGAGATGAAGCCTAGTGAAAAGTTAAGTCACCAACTGGCAAAAACTCAATGCAGAAATTCCCCTCAGACAAAGCATTTTGGAGCAGAACTAGAAAGTAGGATGGAGGAATCCTATCTAGAAAATTGATGACCAGCAACATTAACCAATCTGCCTGCTTGTAGCAGTACAATTATAGCTTAGAGCAACACAGTTCCGTGGTAGAATACAGGTACATGCACATGCTTACTGCAGATCTCAGCCACAACCTAACCTGTAAAGTATCAAGCTGCTAATGGATCAGGGAACCTGAATCCAAATGCGTTCCAAATCCACTTTTAGGGCATGCTGGAGACATTCTCAGGACCACCAAAGACTTCGCAGCATCAGTCAAATAACCTAGACACCAACTGTCCATCTCCAGAACAAATGTCTGAGGTGCTAAACAATTTGTGCATCGATTATGTATGAGTTGCAGATACTTTTATTGCAGTTATTTTTATACTTCTTAGCTTCAGTTTGTGGTGTTTTTTTTTTCTGTTTTTTTTTGTTTTGTTTGTTTTTTTTTTTTCAGCATACTCTTGAGTGGTATTGATTGATTTTGCTGCCATTTAGAGACTATGTACTCAGAGCTCTGGGAACAGACAGCTACATAATGTTAGATATTACCTCACTTCTTTATGAATGATATGTTTTTATGAAAACAAACACTCAACTCATCAAGAAAAACAGCTCCCATTGTACTAATTATCTCTATTATGGCATTAACTCTCATTTAACTTTAGAAGAGTCAACTTTATTTTAAATCTAAATTTAGAAAACAAGTTTAGGGAAAAAAATAGAATACTGGTCAGGAAGACACCCCTCCCCCTCAAAAAAAAAAAAAGTTTGAGTAGAAAGAGCACAAATTCTCCTCCACACAAACACCATTTAACACTCAGTTGCAAAGTCACTCATTTTCCTGTGGCTGACACGTAACTTAGTATCTGACGTATTTTAAAAAGAAGTCCCAAATACTAGGATGAAATTGTTCCAATGCTATACAACCAGGTTGCTTTAAATAAAATAAAAATAATAATAAAAAATAAATATAAAATAAAGCAACAACAACAAAGAAAAAAGGGGCATGACCACAGTAGCTGAATACCATCTCCTGCAGAAGCTTCACAACTTGGCAGCATATGACGAAAAAAATGAGCAAAGTATGCGAAGGACACACTGAATGAGAAAAATATGTTGCTAGGTGTTAGAGCAGTTATCTACAGTTAAGCTATTGCTTTCCTTGCTTCTTGCACAGACTGTGACATTTGAGGAACACTAACAATTATTGAACAATACAGAAAGCTTTCAGATGCTTTTTCTGCATTAATAAGAAGACTAGAACATGAAAGAATATAATACATCTGATTGGTAAAACTAGAAAATTATGGTGGACGTATAAAGATGTTTTCAAGGAATTATTCTAGCAATTTCTATTTTAATAATATTTAAAAAACACACTTTATTTCCACTGCCAGTGATACTAGGCACCTCACATAAGAAATGTTTCAGAAAACTTCTCATGGCAATGGTCATACCTCAAGGTAAAAGCATTTGCACTACCAGTAGAAAAGACATTTTTCAGAAGGACTGTATGAAGTTTATTTAATTTCCCCACACCTTCTTCTCTTGAACCAGAACAACACACTCTTTTTTAACTTTATTTTACCAAATTTTCACCTGTACCAGGTTTTATTTGCAGAGGAACAGCTACAGCAAATTCCTGCTACCACAGAGACACACAAAGCAAACTTCTAACTGATTTAGGTGACAAAGTTCTAGTCCAATACTGAAAGTTACAGGTAACTTTCCCTGTAGAAACTCTATGCAGACCTGCCACTAACAACACTGTTATGGGATGTTAGGTGCTTTTCTCCATAGCAGTCAGATAAATTACAAACTTTAATATTTCAGCATGTTTTTATTATTTTCAATCTCTCCTTCAATTCCAAATCACTCCTTCAAAATAAAAAATTGTTTTTTGTTTGTAACACTGCTACATACTATGCCATGCTGTCACACTGCTACCACACATTTTACCCAGAAAATGCTCAAAATGCCATTGCCAACAAGCCAAGAATCATTTCAAAAGGACCACATTAGGCAAATCGTCTTCCTTCTCTCAGATTACTACATTCAATTTCATCATTACATCTTTATTAGATGAAAGTTACAAAGGTAATTCAGCAGGCAAATTCCTTTAGAAGAACAATTATATTAACAATAAAATTGATCTATTAAGGATGGTTCTTTTCCTGGCTAAATAATTAGTAAGGCAAATAATGACATCTTATTTTATAATAAAACACAACCACATACGCTTACCAGGTTGTTGGGGGAGATGGGTGCAAATCAGCTTTCTGGCTTTTTTAAAGGGCTGTCAAGTCTGCAAAAACACCTGCAATGGACAGAAATAGGAATACTAGCATGTTTTAACTTTCTGGTTCCTGCAATTCTCCCCTACAAGCCTGAAGCCGGTAACATTACTAGTACTCAGTACAGTGACCTCTCTCATTCATCATCTGGGACTCTCAGTCTAATGGTTCCATCCAGAGAGGGCTATCAGTTTAATGGGTCTGACAACATAAGCCTCGCAGATCCTACAAACACTGAAGTAATCATTACTGTAAAAAAACATTTAACAGGCTACAACTTTCCCATGACTCCCACTGCAATTCAGATACAGCTCTTCCCCGTGAGCTAGCTAACTTAGGACCAAGGAAGCCAGCACTGGCAATATTAGCAGTTCTTCCCTGTCCTAATAACCTGTCTTTATCTCAACCCACAAGCTTTTGCCTTTTTTTCCCCCCAATTCTCTTTCCCATCCTACTGTGTGGGAGAGCAAATGGCTGTGTAGTGCTTAGATGCCAGCCTGGTTATACCACAACAGGAATAAAATTATTTCTCCAGTAGCACATTCAGCAGTCTTAGTCGCTGTGTGCTGGAGATGTAATTCACCTGGAGTTCATCTTCATGTGTTACTTTGTGGTGTAAATTGTTCTGTAAAACCTTGTTTGCACTTGTCTGGACTTTTATGCATCCTAAGTGCATAGCATGCAGGTATGTGGTCCATACTGATCCTTTTGAGAGGGAGCAAGAAAATAATTCTCATATATGCCCTATGCGATGTTCACATAGACATTTCAATCTGACATTACCCAATCTCCCACCCCACTCACCATTCACTCTTTTAAAGAAATCAAACCTTACCTAAATTTAGTCATGTAAGGAACACAGCTCATTTTAACACCTGGCCTGTTGCTATATTAATAGGCCACAAATATCCTATTACATGCATAAAATAACTGCCTTTTTTTTTTTTTCTCCCCTGCAGATCTATCATTAAGTGGATGCCAAAAGAAGAAGAGAATGCTGACCCAATTAGAGAATTACTACTAGCTAGTATTATGTTTTCGGTCATATTTTAGAACATTTACTTAAGAGCTTCTTGCTCACTACTGGGTAACATTTCATAGTGCTATTCTGAAAAGGCTAAGTAACATGAGTATCCCTTTAAGCAAGCAAGGAAAATTTGCATTCCAAGTAGGAAAAATAGTTTTGTTCTTCTCAATGTTTATGTGGGTTCCCAGTCCTTTTTTATTGACAACAATTGTCTATGTTCCCATCCCTTTCCAACAGGCATTCACCTTAACATCACACCTTTGTAACAAATATATCAAAATAACCAAGAAGAAAAAAAAAGTTCAAGTAGCAAAGCACAGCAGAAACTATAAATTTTGAAAACATGACTGATGATGCAGTAAAAGAGAAGGTCAGTAGTTCTGATAACTTCCTGGTGTTTGCTGGTTTGTTTGTTTTCATTTAATTTTTAATACTTGCACCTGGAAAGAATGAACACTTAAAGACTTAAATGAAAATTATTTAAATTTCCAACAGTTTTAAAGCAGCACCAATATATAAAAAAAATCACAATAAGAACCATATCAAGATACATATTAAGAGCATAACTTAAAGATAAAAAAATAATCTCCATTACAAAAAATGTAAAGAAAGCTTAAGTAAAGTTCTACCAGACAAAATCTGAATAAACACATGCACAATATATTTGGAAACTTCTAACATGAAAGATAACGTAAGAGATGAGACAAAGACCAGTTCAAGCTTACTCTATACACAAATGACCTGTTTCTGATTTCATGAGGCACTTTACATTAATATTTTAAACTGCAGGTACACTGAATTCATCAGTTTTCTTTGGGATGAAAAAGAAAAAATAAGACTCAGGAACTCCCCTGTACAATCTAGCTACAGACGGCCCATCCGTAGGACCAACACAGAGCTGGTCTGCAGCTAAAAAGCGACACAAGAAATGGTCATGTTCGCACTGCCCTTGTATCTTACAGCACTGTCACCAAACATGTAAAGAAATAAGGTCCTTCAGTTGAGTTATGGTAATTTTTGGTTTTGTTTGCTTTTACTTTTAGCATTTTAAATCTAGGAGCTAATGAAAAAAATGAGCTCTGTGGAAGACTGTTTTATCTGTAATTAAGAATGTTAGAACATTGATTGTTCTAACAAAAACATCACCTACCAATATCAATCAATGAACAGCTCATGACCTAATATGGTCTGTAATAGCAAAGCTATTTTTAATAATCAGCTTTGTGTTTACAGCACTGCAGTGAAGTGGAGAAGCTTACAAGTGTACCAGCACTCGTGCAAAATGTCCTGCTTCCATGGCTTTATGCTCCAAATCCATCTGCACATCAGGAGAGTCCTGAAAGCTCAACAGCCCTACATCTGTCCAACTATTACAAAGCATGCAGAAGCTGTGAGCCCCTGCCCATGCCCAGCCCAGCTCACTCTGGAGCAGCTCCACATATCCAGATGCATCTTTTGAACGAAGATTATCAGTACAGACTAAAAAAAAAACTCTCAAAGCCAAACACTAACCACAGCATTCCCAAGCTTTTCCAGCAACCATCCACAGAAAGCTCCTCTAAAGGCCCCTCATTCCAGTTGCTGAACTTGTATTCAGACTTGTTGAATAAAAGCAGCTACATGTGCACATCTTCACATTCAATCCACCCTATTAGCACCTGGGGTTTATGTTACAGGAAATCTAGTGGAACACAAGGCACACAAATTAGTAAGCGTAGTTGCATCGCAAGCTCAGTGTTTGGGGTTTCCTACAGTTTAGTTATTCTTTGATGACTAGATCAAGAGGGAACTTAAAAGAGAGGAACTGAAGAAAAAATGCATTTTTTTCAGTGTTGAAAATTACACCCAAATTCATAATGAAGGAAGGTGCTCGGTCACTTATGCACACCTTGTATAAATTAGCAGTGGGAATTTAGACCATATTGTAAGGATTTTCAAAATTACATCTCCAAGCCATTTAATGAATATTTACATGAAGATTCATAGTAACTAATTTGGTGAATTTCATCTCTTTTTATCACGTTCTCTTCTGATACAAGTTCAAATGCCCTTTTATTAGAGAAATAGACCTTAGCCTACAGAGTCCTTACTAACAGCTTGCTATGAGTTACAGCTGAGTAAACATGCAAAACTAACTGTTCTTTTGGAACAACAAAGTTCAGGTATTGTGGTGTTTCAGTATTAAACAAAAGCTTGTATTTGAGCTTCACAAGACACAAACTCTTGTGTAAAGCAATGTTTCCATCTTCAGGAGGATAGAGGTTTATCATGAATTCTCCAGTACTTAAGAGATCTGCTGTTCAAATTGAGTCATGTCATTGATTCTAAGTGAGCATTAGAGAAAAAAACAGTAACATACCATATGTCCTGTCTGTACTAACACCACCGAATAATTTTCATTCTAAATGTGTTTTTAAATTCCATCTCAATGTTTGCTTAGATTTTGTTGTTGCTGCAAGTATTCCTGCTCGTTCGTATTCACTGTAACATTCACACGTTGTAAACACAAGTGGGATGCAGCTCTGCTGAGCAAATTTATTCATTTATTTGCAAAACTTACTGCATCACTTATTTCGAGTACGCTCATATTTACAGTCTGCTATGCTGATATGCTGAATACATAAGGAAGAATCCAATGAAATAAGATTCTGGATGACTTGTAAAAATCATATTAAAAGTGACCGACGTAAGTATCTTTTTTGTATTTAGCACCTTCGTAGTCCCATTCTTAGAAATCAGTGGGTTTTTGTTTGTTTGTTTTTAATTACTTTTAAAAAACGCCCTTAAAACATCTTTACAAAAAAAGAATAAATTGTTTACCACTGTCTGGGTATAAACTCAGGCAATTCTCATCAGTGCTTGGACACACTAGCATGTTGTCTATATGCACCCACTGAAGCATTGCACATCCTAACTGTTTATATTCATGAATTCCATGTAAACATGCAAAGGTGGGAATGGAATTTCAGAAAGCCCTTGAAAAGACCCTGGTGAATCTCAGCTTAAGCATTTCTTCAATATCCTCAGTACACTGCAATCTAGAGAAAATTACCAAAACATATGAAATTTCCTTTAACACCAGTTAACACTCAGTGACCGATAACACAGCTATGATTTATACAATTCAAGGTAGCAATCTGAAATCCAAGTCTTCACCCTCTCCTCTGTTAACAAAATAATAAACAGCAAGGCATTCAAGTTGCTCTAATGTACTCATTCCAATGAAGAATAAGATCATGCTGTAATTTCCCCATGCAGAAAGGGGAGGATGGCTCAAAGAGGAAGCTCTGACCAAGTAAGGATTCATGCTTTGAGAAAAATCTTTCAGTCTGAGACTAAATTCATGTGATAATGAACTTGTACCTTGGCTTCTGCACAGTCTTATGTCATAATTGTTCCTATCATTTGCAAACCATTTTCTTCATGCCTTTTTTCCTCCCTTGATACGACAATCCATTTTCTATATGTTGAACACTTTCAAAGCAACTCTGAATGTGCAAGCAGTTAAAGTTCTTGAGAACAGAAGCTAGCAGGAAAACAGATTAAACAAATTTGTTTGAGCCCAGTGGGCGCATGAAAATCTTTCCTTTGGCTTTCCACAGCTCCATCTGCATGCGTATCCCTGTAGACTCACATATAGATTTAAACTTGACATTATCTAATGTGTCTGGGGAAAATTTCTGCACAGCAAACTGATTATTATTTTTTTAATTGCATTCAACAATATATTACAGTTACTTGAATTGCAACAGAATATCATTAATGATAAGGAATGCATTTGGAATTTATATTCTTTATCCTATATCTGAATATTTATTTTAAATCTACTTGATACATGTTGTCTCCCCCACCCCAGTGCTATTTATCATGCATAATAAAAAATATAACTTCAGTATATTTGATAAGTGAGGGAGAAACAGGGAAAAACCTACATACACATACTGCATACAAACCTTGATCTTGTTAAATTTTTGTAGAGGTCATTGCTTTCGTTGA